CGTGCCATCGCTCGAGCTTTGCAACGAGCAGGCGTTCGCGATGTGGCGGTGCACAGCGTCGATTCGTTTCAAGGAAGCGAGGCGGACGTCGTCGTGTGTTCCGCCGTGCGAAGCAACGCAAAGGCGAACGTGGGATTTTTATCCGATAAACGTCGTCTCAACGTCGCGCTGACGCGCGCAAAATATTCCTCAATTGTCCTCGGGTCGCGCGATACGTTGTCTCGATGCGGCGTCGACGCGTTGCGTTCGCTCGTCGAAGACGCCGCGGCGCGCGACGTCATCGTCTCCGAGCATGACATCGTGCGTAGAATTATTAGAAATTAGCTACAGTAGTCGATGTAGTCGATGTAGAAGTACTAGGCTATCGCAGCGCCGACGTGTCGAAATCTCACGCCAACCCTTGGCTCTTCAAACGCTGGATGAACAAATTAATCGGCGACAGGAGCTGCTGCGGATCCTCCATCGTCGCCACGGTGCCGCAGCCCTCGATCTCGATCCAGCTCGTCTTGCTCGCCTTCATCAACGAATTCATCACGATCGTGTCCTTGTACCAAGGGCTGCTCGTTCCCGCCAAAATCATCGCGTCTATGTCTAACGACGCGTACACGTGCTCGTTATCCAATCGATGCAACGCCGCGTCGTAATACGCCAACGTCGCCTCCGGGTTCATCTCTCGCATCTCCCTTCGCGCCGTCTGCGCCAGATCGCTCTCGTACATCCCATTCGACCCACCAAGTCCGCGATAACTAAACATTCGCTTCAGCAAGTGTTTCAACGTCCACGGCGTCCATCCGTGACGCTTCAAATTAAACTTGCAAACCGCCCCCAACGCGTGCTCCATCGTCCTCGCTCGTCCGCAACTCGGCGACACGAATATTCCCGCCCGACACGCGCTCGAGTGTCGTCCCGCGTACAGCGCCATCACCGTCGCTCCCGCGCCGACCCCCAAGCACGTCACATCGCGCAATCCAAAGTGTTTCACGACGTCCTCGACGATCTCCGCGTGCGCGTCCAGCGTCGTCGCCGTCGTCGCCGCGTCCCCGTCCCCGCCTCGATCTCGCCCCCGCGCGCCGTCCTGGCACCCCGGGGCGTCGATGTGATACGCGCAGAACCTGCTGACGAGGTCGCTCCGCGGTCCCGCGCACACGAACAGCGGCTGGAAGCACGTGCGGTGGTTTAAACCGACGTCGTGGTAGGTGACGAGCGCGGGTCTCGAGCGATCGGCGCCCTGCGCGGTGACGGTGACGGGGCCGTGGCGCGTCGGCACGACGTGCGCGACGCCCGAGACGTCGAAGGACGCCGCGGGTAACAGATCGAGCCCGTCCTCGGGGAGCGACATGACGGGACGGCGCGCGACACGCGCGACGACGAGTGCGGCGCCGGCGGCGCGGCGAACGCGAAGGCGACGCGCGAAGCGCGCGGAATTCTCACGCGAGTTCTCACGCGAAGCGCGCGTTGGCGTTCAACGCCAACCCGAGCTTAAAATCTAAATCGTCTCCCGGATCGACGAGCGCGCCGCGGACGAGCGCGGCGTGGCGTTGACGCATCTCGCCCAGGAGCGCTCGACTCTCGAGCGAGAAATCGTCCGCGGAATCGAAGGGTTCGTCTGCGAACACCATGTCCTTCAAAACCTCCCGCGGCGACTTGGCGCACCCGAGGCGAGCGTCCGCGAACACGCATCCCCACGGATCGCCGTCGCGGTCGGCGTCCTTCGCGAGGACGATTTCGAGCGCGTCCGACGCGACGCTCCACGCCGTCTCGTCCGCCTTGACTCGCCGCGCGAGCGCGCCGGATAATCCCTCGACGACGCCGTGCCACGACGTCCACACCGTCAGCGCGCCGTCGTCGACCGTCACGCGCACGTCCCGCCCGCGCGTGTTCGCGGGCAGTTCGACGGTGATCTCCACCGTCGACGTCGTTTGATTCCACAACGCAATCTCCGTCCAGCACCTCGAAGAACCGCGACACGCGGACGACCACGCGCGACGCGCGCGCGCCGAGTCGGCGTCGCCGTCGGCGCGCGCGACGCATCCGTCGCTGTCGTACCCATCGTCGGCGTCGCCGGCGCCCATCGTCGCGCGCGTCGCCGTGTGACGCGTTTTCCGTCGACGTGCGTTTCGCGCTCGAGTAAAATAAAAACGGTCCGTCGCGCGCGCCGCCGTCGGCCTTCGACGCGCGTCGCGTCGCGCGCGCGTCGCGTCGCGCGCGCGGGGGCGTCGAAAACGAAGCGATCCATCGTTTTCGGCGCGTCGCGTCGCCCGTCGTCGCGCGCGTCGCGTCGCGACGCGCGCGTGCCGGCGCCGAATCGGCAAAAAAAAACGGTTTAGGTCGCGCGACGGACGGCGCGCGGCGCGCACACCGCGTCGCTTCGCGCGGCGTCGCGCGACGCTCGACGCCTCGGCGCGCGCGCGAGCGAAGGAACCGGACGACGACGCGCGCGGTCGACGCGATGACGGCGTCCGGCGCGTCGGCCGCGGCGCGCGCGACGCGCGCGGACGTCGAAACGATCGGCGCCGAGGTCTTTCGAGACGCCGTCGACGACGGTTTGCACGACGCGGTGTGCGCGTGGGTCGCGGAAGAGCTCGAGCGAGGACGGCGAGGGGAGCTTGAGGGTAAGACGCACGCGCCGGTGCCGCCGAAGTGGGCGCGAAGGGATCAGTCGAGGGAGATGCTGCAGTACGGGACGTACACGCACAGTAACCGAGTGGACGCGGAGACGCGCGTAGCGGCGATGCCGGCGATGTTTGAAGACGTGCTGGACGCGCTGGTGGCGAGAGGGGTGATCGGGAAGGATGAAAAGATGGATTCGTGCACGGTGAACGTGTACGGGAAGGGACAGTGGATACCGCCGCACATCGATAATCCGACGTTCGCGCGGCCGTTTGTGACGGTTTCGTTGGCGAGCGCGCAGACGATGACGATGGGGCGAGGGATGCTGTGGCCGAGTGGGGACGAAAAACCGGATCCGGGGGTCGTTTATGAGGGGGAGGAGTTCAGGGTGGTGCTTCCGGCGAAATCGGCGGTGCGCATGGAGGGAAGGGCGGCGGACGAGTACGAGCACGCGATTCCGCCCGTGAGCGAGGATAGGATTTCGCTCACGTTTAGACGACGAATGGCGGCGAATACCGAAGGCGACGCGATCGCGGCGCAGATGGCGATGACGGAGCAGTTTCGAGCGATGTATAGGGAAAAGCGCGCGGTCGGTCGAGACGATTCGTTGAAGGAACCCAAGGAAGTTTCCGAGGAGCAGAGACGACGCGAGAGCATCGCCGCCGAGAGGGCGGCGATCAAGGCGGCGCGAGAGGAGCGTAAGAAGGCGAAACAGTTGCGCAAGGAAGGTAAGCGGTCGGATGCGCTCGAAATGGAAGAGGCGACGAGGAAGAATCCGTCGCCGTCCGTAAAAACGAGCGTGTCGAACGCAGGGACGACGGCGACAGAGTTGGTGAAGAAGCCGCCCAAGCGAGCGTGCGCCGTGGTGCCAGAAAATTTCATAGACGCCGCGGAAAAGGTGACAGCGATGCCCGAAGTCGAGCGCGAGCACGTGCAGAAGGTGTACGATATCGTCGCGCAGCAATGGCACGGCACGAGGTATCGCGCGTGGACCGGGGTGGAGGCTTTCGTTAGGAAACAGCCGCCCGGTTTGCTCGCCGCGGACGTCGGATGCGGCAACGGTAAGAACATTCCCGAAATCGTCAAGGGCGGTGGTTTCGCGCTCGGAAGCGACTTTAGCAGAGGCTTGATTGAAATCTGTCGCGATAGCGGATACGAGGTAATGGTGGCCGACGCCGTTATTTTGCCGTATCGATCCGACGTGTTCGACTACGCGCTCAACATCGCCGTGTTGCATCACATATCGTCTCCCGAACGTCGCGTGGAGCTCGTAAAGGAAACGATGCGCATCGTCAAGGTTGGTGGTGTCGCATTATTCTACGCCTGGGCGCTCGAGCAAGAGCAAGGGGGGGTTTCTGGTCACCAATTTGAAGGCCAAGACGTCTTGGTGCCGTTTCATAACAAGATCAAAGTCAAGGGCGTCGCGCCCGAGGACGAGCGAGAGCGCCAATCGCGCGTGAGCGGCGCGCCCACGCACGGTGAGGCCGATCGCGAGAAACGATCGGTTGTGTATCAGCGATATTGTCACGTGTACACCGAGGGTGAGCTTCCAAAGCTGTTTGAAAACCTTCCTTGGTGCGAGGTCACGGCGGCGTATTACGATCACGGCAACTGGTGCGTCGAGGTTTTGAAGACGTCTCGTCCTTAGATGTCGTACGCGTCACCTTACAAAACTACTACTCGTACCGCGGATTGTCATCGTCATCATCTGTACTCTATTCTCACCGCCTTGCGCGTTTTGTGCACCTCGTGCCTGGCCTGCTTAATTCTCCTTCGCGCGTCCTTGTAAATTTCGTTCGCCTCCTTCCACGCCTTTTTCGCCTCGTCGAGCTCGGCTTTGGCGTTCGCGTACCGCGCGTTATTCTCCACCTGCGACAGCCTTCTCGGTCGCACGACGGAATCATCCATCATCGCCTTCATCGCGTTCCAATTCCCATCGTCGCGCACGTACCGCGCGCTCGCGTCGTCCCCGTCCACCTCCGTCACGACGGCGTCGAACGCCTCGCGCACCCGCGCCCACTCCTCAAACGTCAACGTCGCCCCCGCGTACTCCAAGTATCCGTTCACGTTCCCGCACGCCATGCGCCACTTCTCCGGTATCCCATTCACGCCGTCACCGTCACCGTCACCGTCACCGTCACCGCGCGCCTCGGACGTCGTCGCGTCGTCCGCCGCCTCGCGCGTCTCGAACGCCTCCGTCGCCTCGATCGCCTCGTGCGCGAATCGCCGCGCGAGCGCCGTCGCCTCCGCCTCGCACTTTCCCACCTCCCTCGCCACCGCTCGCGCCGCCGCCGACCCATCCTCCGCCTCCAGCGACGCTCGCACGCGTCCCAGTCGCCCGCCGACGCGCGCGCTCCACCGTTCACAAATCTTCGCGACGCACGCCGTCTCGCCGCGCGTCGCGCGCCGACGCCGAATCGCGCCGACGTAGCACATCGCCGTCATCGCCTCCGCGTCGATCGCGCGTCGGCTTTCGCGCAGGAGCTCGAACGCGCGCGTCGCGCGCGGCGTCGCGCGCGCGAACGCGTCGAGCGCGTCGCGGTCGTCGGCGCTCGAGCGCGTCGCGGTCGCGTCGGCGCGCGCGGCGCGGCGGCGGCGAATCGGCGCCGGTCGACGGCGCGCGACGGCGCGCGCGGGCGCGCTCGAGCGCGCGGGCGAGCGCGCGCGGGCGGCGGCGCGCATGCGTCGACGCGCGGGCGCGCCCGACGGCGCGCGCGCGGCAGAGCGCGACGCGGTGTGCGGCGAAAGGATTCGTCATGACGCGCGGTGACGGCGCGCGCGACGGCGCGTCGACGCCGCGCGCCATCGGGCGCCTGCCGAGCGACGTCGTCAATCGCGTCGCCGCGGGAGAGGTGCGTCGAGGGCCGGCGCGCGACGGCGCGCGCGATGAGAGATTGAATGTTTGAACGTCAGCTCGACGACGGACGACGCGAACGCGCGACTGACGACGCGAGACGACGCGACGACCGAACGCGCGCGCAGGTGATCCATCGACCGTCGAACGCGCTGAAAGAGCTGGTGGAGAACTCGTTGGACGCGGGCGCGAAGTCGATCGCGGTGACGACGAGGGAGGGCGGGAATAAACTGTTGCGAGTGCAAGACGACGGACACGGAGTGCGAATAGAGGACTTGCCGCTGCTGTGCGAGCGACACGCGACGAGTAAGATTGAAAAGTTTGAGGATTTAGCGCGATGCGAGAGCTTTGGGTTTCGAGGAGAGGCGCTGGCGAGCATGAGCTACGTGGCGCACGTGTCGGCGACGACGATGGCGGCGGGGGCGACGCACGCGACTCGAGCGACGTATACGGATGGGAAGATGGATGCGGAGGGGGCGAAACCGATCGCGGGGGTGTTAGGAACTACGATTAGCGTGGAGAACTTGTTTTATAACGTCGTGACTCGAAGGAAGGCGTTGAAGAGCGCGTCAGAGGAGTACTCGAAAGTGCTCGAGGTGTTGCAGAGGTACGCGGCGTTGCGAACGGATGTGGCGTTCACGTGTCGGAAGCACGGTGAGTCGCGAGCGACGTTGCACACTCCCGTGGCGCAATCGCGCGTCGAGCGGTTGCAGGCGATTTACGGTCCCACGGTGGCGAGAGATTTGAAGAAGCTCGACTTCGACAGCGAGCTGTCCAAGAAAAAGTTTGATTTCAAGCTGCAAGTGGACGGTTTAGTGAGCGGTGGGAATTATCATTCAAAGAAGACGACGTTCATTTTGTTCATCAATTCGCGTTTAGTGGAGTGCGCGCCGCTCAAGCGCGCGTGTGAGTCGGTGTACGCGGCGATACTCCCCAAGGCTGAGAAGCCGTTTGTATTCATGCACCTCCGCCTGCCGTTTGAAGACGTCGACGTCAACGTGCATCCCACGAAACAGGAGGTGCACTTTCTGCACCAAGAAGCCATTGTGGAGTTGATTCAGTCCAAACTAGAGAAGATTCTTCTCGCGACGAATTCGTCGCGAACATTCACCGTGCAAACACTGCTTCCTGGCGCGGAGAAACTGGCAAAGAAGGATGACGAAAACGACGCCGAGCGAAGCGGCGACAAGGAAAATAGCGAAAAAGCGGACGAACCGCCGGCGTCGCAGGCGAAGACGATGCGGACACAGCGCGAACGCGCGGGTGGTGATCACAAGCTCGTTCGCACGGATGCGAATTTAGCAGCGGGGAGTTTGGACGCGTACTTGCAGCGAGCGATGAATTCCGAGGGACGCGAACACGAGAAAATAGAAGAGGTTCGACGCGCGGTGAGAGAGCGTCGAGGACAGCGCACGGAACCCGAAGACACGTACGTGTGCGAGTTGACGTCTATTCGCCAGCTTAACACCGAAATCGCCAATCGCGCGCACAAGGAGCTCGGCGACGTGATTAAAAATCACACACTCGTCGGCGCCGTGGACGCGCGCAAAGGCGTGTGGTTACTTCAGCACCAAACCAAGCTCTTCATGGTGGACGCCGTAAAGCTCACCGAGGAAATGTTCCATCAAATGGCTTTGAAGAACTTCGCCAACTTTGGGTACCAATCGCTGCAAGATCCCGCGTCTTTGGCCGAACTCGCGCTGTGCGCGCTGGAGGATAAATTCGTCGACGACGAAGAGTGGGACGCGAGCGATGGCTCCAAGGAGGAAGTCGCAGAGAAAATCGCAGAGATGCTCGTCGAAAAGGCGGACATGCTCAAGGAGTATCTCGGCGTCGTCATCGACAAGGAACGGCGTCAGATCACCGGAGTGCCGTCGATGCTTCCCGGGTACGCGCCGGAAATCGGCAAACTTCCCGAGTTCGTCCTCGCCCTCGCCGAAGACGTCGATTGGACGAGTGAAAAAGAGTGCTTCGAAACCTGCGCTCGAGTCATCGGCGCATTTTTCGCCATGGACTGCTCTTTCCACGATCCGAAAGCCGAAGAAGGCGACGCCGAGTCCGACGCTCGTCGCGTCGCTCGCCTCTGCGTCTTTCCCGCGATGAAGCGCCGTCTCGCCCCGCCTCGTCGTTTCGCCGACGACGGCACCGTCATTCAGATCGCGTGCCTCGAGCAGTTGTACAAAATTTTCGAGCGCTGTTAGTCGGTCCGCGTCGTCGTCGTCGCCCTCGAACGGCGTCGGCGTTCCGAATCGTCTCGCGGCGCGTCGCCCGGTCGTAAAGCTTGAAATCGTGAACCAACCAGCCGTTCGATTCAACCGACGCGCGTCGACCGCGCGCGCCTCGGTCGTCACTCCCGCGCGCGCCACCGGCTCGACGGACGGACCGACGCGACCGACGCGACCGACGCGCGCGTTCGAATCGTGCATGCGCGCCGCGCGTCTCGTCGCCGCGCGCGTCGCCGCGAGAACGCCGACGTCATCGCGTCGCCTCGCCGCTCGAAAACTCAAAACGACGACCCGCGCGCGCGACGCCGCGATCGCCGAGCGAGCGAGCATGACGACGGGCGAACGCTCGAACGCGTCGAAGCTCGCGGCGGTGCGAGAGGCGATGGCGAAGCGAGGGGTGCGAGCGGTCGTCGTGCCGTCGCAGGATCCGCACTTTAGGCGCGTCGGCGAAGCGAAGGCGAACGAACGAAACGAGGAACGACGACGCGCGCGACGGGAAAGACTGACGAACGGGCGAGGGCGTGTTTTTGTGGGGAACGCAGTGAGTACGTGGCGGCGTGCTTCGAGCGACGACGATGGTTGAGCGATTTTACGGGGTCGGCGGGGACGGTGGTGGTGACGGACGCGGCGGCGTTGTTGTGGACGGATGGACGGTATTTCGTGCAGGCTGAAGACGAGCTGAGCGAGGACTGGACTCTGATGCGAAGTGGGGTGAAGGATGTGCCGGACGTGAAGAAGTGGTTGTGCGCGGAGGAGGCGGGACTGGCGTTTACCGGAGCCAAGGTGGGCATCGATCCAAACGTGCACTCGGTGAGCGAGGCGCGAGGTTTGAGAGAAGCGTTGAGCGCGTGCGGGATCGAGTTGATGAGCGTCGAAGAGAACTTGGTAGATTTGGTTTGGAGCGATCGTCCACCGTTCCCGAAGACGCCGCTCAGAGTGCACCCGATGGAGTACGCGGGGAAGAGCGTGGCGGAAAAATTGGAAAACCTTCGAGAAAAAATGAAGGAAAACGACGCGCAGAAGCTCGTCGTGAGCTCGTTGGATGACGTCATGTGGCTATGCAATGTTCGAGGCGGTGATGCACCGTGTAATCCGGTGACGTTGTCTTACGTCTTGGTGGGTGAAAACGACGCTTCGTTTTACGTCGACACGGACAAGGCGACGCCTGAAGTCGTGGCGCATCTCGCCGAGGCAAACGTGACGATCAAGCCGTACGAAGACATGGCCAAAGACGTGTATGCCGCGGCACAGCGCGGTGAGCGACTCTGGATGGACGTCGATAAGGTCTCCATCGCCATGCTCGAACAGGCTGAAGCCGGAGCCGCCGAAGCGCCCAAGGATGCGAAAAAGGTGAAGACGGAGAGCGCGCCGTCCGCCATCAAGGAGGGCACGTGTCCGGTCCCGATCGCAAAGGCGGTGAAGAATGAGGCCGAGATGGCCGGTATGGTCGAAGCCCACCTCATGGATGGCGCTGCGATGGCTGAATTCTGGTGCGCGATCGAGCGAGACGTCGCCGAGGGGCGCGCCATTGACGAGTACGAAGCTGGCGAGAGGGTCTTGGCGTGCCGAGCCAAGCAAAACGGTTTCTTCGAAGAATCGTTCCCGACGATCGCGGGTGAAGGTCCTCATGGCGCCGTGGTGCACTACCGTGCTTCGAAAAAGAGCGCGAGGGCTATCGGTAAGGACAGCTTATTACTCTGCGACAGCGGCGGCCAGTACGCGTGTGGCACGACGGATGTCACTCGAACGGTGCACTTCGGAACGCCCACCGCTCATCAAAAGGAGTGCTACACGCGCGTGCTCCAAGGTCACATCGCACTCGACCAAATGGTTTTCCCTGTCGGCACGAAAGGTTTCGTTCTCGACGCCTTTGCGCGATCGCACCTGTGGGCCAACGGCTTGGATTACCGTCACGGCACCGGCCACGGCGTCGGCGCGGCGCTCAACGTGCACGAAGGTCCGCAAGGAATCTCTCCGCGTTTTGGAAACATGACGCCCCTTATGCCAGGAATGATCTTGAGCAACGAGCCGGGGTATTACGAAGACGGTGCGTTCGGTATCCGCATCGAGACGCTTCTGCAAGTGAAGGAGGCGAAGACTGCGCACAACTTCGGAGACACTGGATTTTTATGCTTTGACGTCTTGACGTTGATCCCGATTCAAACGAAACTCATGGACTTGAGCATTATGAGTGAAAAAGAAATCGCGTGGGTGAACGCGTATCACGAAAAAGTTTGGCAACAAATTTCCCCGCGAGTGTCGGGGGAGACTAAAACGTGGCTCGAACGCGCGTGTGCAAAGATTTCCAAGTAGGCGGCGTAGATTTACGTGTTTTAATTTGATGTTGAATTCGAGGTTGTTTTCGGCGAAAATTTGAATGCGTCTCTCGTTACAACTTTATTTTAGGATCACATTCGTTCGTTGAACACAAAAGTATGGTACGACGTATTTTCTCACTGGGACTCTATACCGCTAAGATCAAGAAGCAAAGGCTTTAGATGGCCTTGTACTCAACCTTGGTGATCTTACCCAACATGACGGCGGTGTTACCGTCCAAGAAAGCGATGCGGGAAAGACCTTCGCACTTCTTGAAGGAGTCGACGACGAGCGGGTGGACCGGCTCGAAGACGCACTCGGCGACTTCGTTGGACTTCAACGACATCGGGGACTCGAGCTTCTTACCGCCGGTTTCCTTGCCAACCTTGAAGTTGAGCGCGGTCAACTTGCACGCGGAGCGGCCGCATCGGACGAAACCGATGGGGCTGTAGCCCGCCTTGAGTTCACCCGGAATGTCCAAGGTTTGGATTTGCGCGGTGAACTCCTTGCACGGGGCGAGGGAGGTGTCCTTCTTGTAGATCATCACGTCACCGGTGCGCGGCATGTTGAGCTTGTCGAGACCCTTGATGTTCATACCGACGTTGTCACCCGGCGCGGCGGCTTCGACGCGCTTGTGGTGCATTTCGACGGTGAACACCTTACCACCGCACGGGTTGGAGGAGGTGTGGGTCGGGAGGAAGACGACGTCTTCACCCGGCTTGACGAGACCTTGCTCGACGCGACCGGCGAGGACATCACCGACACCCTTGATCTTGTAGACACCGGAAATCGGAAGGCGCATGGCGGCTTCCGTGTTGCGGTCCGGCTTGTCGACCATGTCGTTGAGGACGTTGAGGAGGCAGTCGATGTGGAACTTCTTGCCGCCGCCCATGTAGTCTTCGACGTCGACGCCGTTCCACCACGGCATCTTCGCGGACTTGGACAACAAGTTGTCGCCGTTCCAGCCAGAGATCGGGAGGACCGGGACGCTCTTCTCGACGTAATCCTTCTTCCAGCCGACCTTGATCAACATGTTCTTCATTTCGTTGCGAATTTCTTCGTAACGCTCTTGCTTGTAGCCAGCCATGTCGCAATCCATCTTGTTGATGCCGCAAATGAGCTGCTTGACGCCGAGCAAGTTGAGAAGACGCGCGTGCTGGCGCGTTTGGCCTTGGACTTCACCAGCCTTGTGGTTACCCTTTTGGATGGCGACCGTGAAGTTACCGTCCGCCGGCACCATGAGAAGCGCCACATCGGCTTGCGCCGCGCCGGAAATCATGTTCTTGATGAAATCGCGGTGACCCGGGGCGTCGATGATGGTGTAGTGCCACTTGTCCGTGAAGAATTCCTTGGTCGTGCAAGAAATCGTCACACCACGCTCACGCTCTTCCTTTTGGCGATCCATGTAGAACGCGAACGCGAAAGAAGACTTACCGAGCGCATCGGCTTCGGCGCGAAGCTTTTCGAGTTCGCGCTCCGGGATACCCCCGAGCTCGAATAACAAGCGACCGGTCGTCGTCGACTTACCGGAATCGACGTGACCGCAGATCACGATGGAAAGATGTTCCTTGCCTTCAGACATTGTGCGTTTATTTCAACTGTTTCGAGCCACGCGCGCATCGTCAGTCCCCCTTCCTCTCGTCTCGCCTCGTCCCGCGTCCAAACCTCCCGCCATCGCGCCGCCATCGGATCGCGATCGTCAACCTCGCCCCCCCCCCTCGCTCGCGACCCTCGCGCGCGTCCCGCGCCGCCCGATCCATCGCGCGCGTATTCCTCCCGATCGTTTCCATCCGCGACCGACGCCTCGCGCGTCGCATCGCGGCGTCACCGCGTCCGATCGTCGTCCGCGCGCCGTCCGCGATCGATCGTCGTCCGCGATCGATCGCGCGGCGCCCGCATCGCCTCGCCCTCGCGTCGTCGCGCGCCCTCGCGCGCGCGCCGCGACGCGCGCGAATATTTCCCACCGCCGCGTCCGTCGATCGCCGTCGCGCGCGCGTCGTTCGCCGCGCGCGGGCGCACCTTTGACCGTCGAAGAATGGCGCCGCCGCCGTCCTGGGGTCTTCGCGAGGATGCGTCGACGCGTGCGTTTCGTCGACGGTTCATGACTCAAGAGTATGTGTCTTCGTATGGGTAAACAGTGTGAGTATCAGCAGAACGCCGCCCAGCCTCGACGGCCCGCGCGGCGGACGCCGCAGCATGGCGCGCGCGCGCGCCGACGCGCGCGACGCGCGCGCGAGCGATTGGCGCGCGTTCGTCGCCGGCGTCGCGGGCGGCGCGTCGAGCACGCTCGCGCTGCACCCGCTCGACGTCGTGAAGACGCGGCTGCAGGTGCAGGACGACCCGGACGCGCGACGCGCGCGGTACGCGGGCGCGTGGCGAGGCGCGCGACGGATCGTCGCCGAGGAAGGCGCGCGCGGGATCTACGCGGGCGCCGCGCCGGCGATCGTCGGGAGCGCGGTGAGCTGGGGGGCGTATTTCGCGTGGTACGACGGCGCGCGGGCGCGGTACGCGGACGCGCTCGGACGAGAGCGAAACGGGGCGCTGCCGGCGGGCGCGAACATGATGGCGGCCACGGAGGCGGGGGTGGTGACGACGGTGCTGACGAACCCGATTTGGGTGGTGAAGACGCGGTTGCAGTTGCAGAGAGGAGGAGGATTAGGGGACGCGGCGAGCGAAGCGGCGAAGAGCGGCGAAAAGCGATACGCGGGATTCGTCGACGCGTTGGCGACGATCGCGCGAAAGGAAGGGTTGAGAGGGTTATACAAGGGACTCGTGCCGTCGATATGGCTCGTCTCGCACGGTTCGATACAGTTGACGGCGTACGAGTGGTTGAAGGAAATCGCGGCGAGCGGCAGAGCGAGACGCGCGCGAGGGGGCGCGGCGGACGTCGCCCCGGTCGAGGCTGGCGCCCTGGGCTTGGCGTCGAAATTCATCGCCGTGACCGCGACTTATCCAATTCAAGTCGTGCGCGCGCGCATTCAACAGCGCTCGGACGTCGGTAGACCCGCGGACGCCCCGACGTACGCGCGCTTCGGCGAAGCCGTCTCGCGCACCTTCGCTCGCGAGGGCGTTCGCGGCTTCTACAAGGGCTTCGCCCCCAACGTCGTTCGCGTGTTACCGAGTTCGGCCATCACGTTCGCCGCGTACGAGGGCGTTTTAGGCGTATTAAACGACGATCCCGTCGCGTAGCGTAGCGTAGCGTAGCGTAGCGTAGCCGTTTGCAACGCGTCCTCGCGCGAGGGCGCCTCGAAACGACGATTGGCTTCGCCGACCGACGCCTCGCGCACTTCGCGACGCGATGTCGCGCGCGCCCGACGTCGCGAGCGAGCGACGCGACGCGTCGCGCGTGTCCATGCCGTTCGCGCCCGGCGCGATCCCGCGAAGCGAGAGCTACGACGCGTTCGTCGCGTCGGTGCCCGACTCGCGCGCGTCGCCGGTGAAATCGCTCGCGCGCGCGCGCGATGCCTCCGCGAGCGCGACGACGGGCGACGACGAGCGACCGCGCGTGATGCTGCTCCACTGCGGCGGCACGCTCGGGATGGGGGTGGAGTCGTTCGAGCTGCGAGAGGCGGACGTCGTCCCGCGCGCGGGTGGCAAGTACAGACCGCTGGGGGCGTCGAAATATCTGTTGGACGTGCAGGAGGTGATACCCGAGCTGCGAGATTTCGCGCGGCTGGACGTGGAGGTGTTGATGAATAAAGACTCGAGCGAGATGGACGGAAAGGATTGGGTGACGCTCGCGCGGGCGCTGCACGAGAGGAGGGAGGAGTACTCGGCGTTCGTCGTGGCGCACGGAACGGATACGATGGCGTACGCGGCGAGCGCGCTGTCGTTGATGCTGGTTGGGTTCGGAAAGCCGATCGTGTTGACGGGCTCGCAGTTGCCTCTGTCGTTCGCGCGATCGGACGCGCGCCAAAATTTGATTGACGCCCTGACGTGCTGTTGCGCGAGTCGAAGCTGCGGAGGTACCGTGGATTTCGCGGAGGTGGCGATTTGTTTCGGCGGTAAGCTTTTACGCGGGAATCGCGCGTCAAAGACGAGCGCGACGGTGTACGCGGCGTTTAGTTCACCTTCGTATCCAGCGCTCGCGAGATTAGGAGTGGGGGTCGATTGGAACCACGCGCGTTTGTTACGGCCGGCGCCAGAGTACGCGCCGCAATTTGAGTTGAATTCGAACGTCATACGCGTCCCGGTGATTCCTGGCTTAGACATCGAAAAGGCGTACGGCGATTTGTACGGTCGAGGCGTGCGAGGCATCATCTTGGAAGCGTTCGGCGTGGGAAACTTCCCGCAGAGCCTCGTCCCTTGGCTCACCAGCCAAGCGTCGCGCGGATTGCAAATCTACCTATCGACGCAGTGTCAAAGCGGCGAATTACGACCGGAGCTCTACGCCGCCGGTCTCGGCGCGTTAGCCGTAGGGGCCAAATCTGGCCCGGTCATGACCAGCGAGTGCGCCGTGGTCAAAATGATGCTCCACATCGCGAATCCCGAGCTCGAGCTCCACGTATCGTACTCTGGCGAAGCCGGCGACGTCGATTTTTGCGACATCAAGTGACCGCTCGCGCCTCGTTCCACGCACTATCCAAACCTAAAAGTAGCCCTTTTAATTTTAGCCACCGCGCGCCGAATCGACCGACCGCGCCGGCGTCGGGGCCACGGTCAAAATCGCGAACCGCCGCTGGACTCGCGAATGGCGACTTTGGATGGATGACTTTGGTCGGCATCAGATCGCGACGCGTCCACGACGCACGCGCGCATCGATCTCCCTTTGGACGCGCACACGCGCGCGTGAACGTGATCCCACGCCGTCGCGATGTCGCTCAAGTCCATCAACCCCAACGCCGAGCTCATGAACGCCGATGCCGCGCTGTTCATGAACATCAACGCCGCCAAGGGTCTCCAAGACGTGATGAAGACGAATTTAGGCCCGAAAGGGACGATCAAGATGCTCGTCGACGGTGCTGGAGGTGCGTGTACGATCGTTTCGTCGATACATC